GGTGTAGATTGACTACAAGTGCTACCAAGTGCAGCGGGGCTGTCGTAGCTCTTTCGCTCGGAGGAAGCTAAGCTAAGGTCGGTGACCTTCATTCTGTACTTAGAACCAGTACGAATGTAGCGAATCGCAATCTGCTTACTCCAAGAGTTACCACAATCTTTACCCAGGGCAAATAAACTCTTTCGATCAAAAGGTAAGCTATGCTTCTTGGTTATATTTGCGGCAAAGCCCTATATCTATATCTATAGGGTTTCCCAAAAAAATTAGCAAAACCTAATTAAAGTGCATAACTACTAGCAGTTTAGCCATGTAGTGACTTCTTGTTAGGGTGTAGCCACACTATTGTGTGGTCACACTACCTGGTGTGATCCACCCCTTCATATTACGGTACGTGTAACCCCGTTACAGTGCCGGGTAAAATGTCATTTCGCAAATCGTATTAAAAGCCAGTACGGTGAAAGAATTTCTAAATTATAGTTTTGGGGACACTCCGTTAACCACATAGAACCCAATTACATATTATTTCTTCGGTCGAAGGCGTTGAAATCCCGCCGCGAGTAAGCTCAATATTGTAAGATTTCTTCCAGGCTACAATTTATCGGCGACACGTCATCGGAAACGATTTTTAGATTCCGATGTCACCAAGTTGATCATATGGATTCAATCCTCCGGGAATAACAGCCAACTGATTTACGATGCTTCATATAGTCCTTGACATCGTTTGACATGTGAGCCCAGCAAGATATCAAAACCAGCATTTCCCTGAGACTTGTCTTCGACGCGCGAAAAATATATGCTCCATTTATGAAAGCAGTAATCCTTTGGTAAGCCAGGTCTTGGTTAGATATGCAATCCATATGTCATGTTTCGTTTGGATAAGCGACTCTTCAACCTTGATCATAACCATGGGCGTCACTTTACTGCAGTGTTATTCCCATAAAAGAAAACGAAGTCGTTTTCAGCAGAACGTTACGCACTCTACTTGTTGTACGCCATTTGTCTTCCAAATGAGCAGCTATTTCGTCCATTAGAATCGTGTTGGAAGGAACGCAAGTCTTTTGAGATTGGCCAGATACTTCATGTTCTCAAAAAGCACGATTCAATAGGAATTTCTCACTGAAAAGTTGTCAAATTTGTATCCTACGCGACGAGGGTCGATTGCGCTCCTTAAAATTGGTTGACTACTGATTCAAATGGTTTACATTCTTCTTCTTTGATGGTTACTCTATTGGCGATTTCTCGAATAATGTAGCGAACGAATTTGCTGATTACATGCTTCTCAAATTATCAGCAAAGTTCAATCATACTTAGTAAAAATGTCACCGCTGCTTAAGCTCTCCTTTTCAGATCGCTAGAGGGAGCCTCGAAAGCTCTAGTGTGGTTTGCCTACCATGTCTGCACCGTCCTTGGAAGGAGATATTAAACTACTTCGCAACCCGTTTAAGAATGCCATTGGCGTGATCACGAACTGATTCGACTTCTTCCAGTTTCATCGATTCGTCTTATGCGTCCCGTTTTGGCGTTGTTTGAGCTTTGCAACAACTATGCCTTAGAGGCACTGCCAACAAACTCCATTGAGAAGGACGTTTTAAAAGGAAGAGCGTAGTCTTATAATCCCTCCGAGTGCACTAATTGTCAAAGCCTTAGGATAGAAAGAGCGCTATATTAGCGAAAGTACGTTGATTTAATAATTGAACATATTTGTCGCTGTGCAGAAAGTCAAGTGATTCACAGAGCGTGATATTTCATTATAACTATAGACTCTCAACGGGTAATTTACACACCATGAGCGACACCTCAGAATCAATTATATGCGTATACAGATCAAAATGAAAGCATAATTGGGTTCAACATCAGTTATAACTGAAGGAGGCTAACTTAGCGTCGCCCACTTTGCAAGCGCTAAGCGCATGATAGGTCTCAACCCGCGTCACGCACTGATACAGCTCGCTCCACTACTCAAATTAGCTGGTCTAGCCTTTCATGGTTACAAGATCATGTGTCTATACCATACTCTAGCATCTAAATTGTGTGCATAATTCTGCCTTATCCTCAAACGTATTTATATATTTTTCGGCCACTCTGTTTCGCGTAGTTGTATAAACTATCGCTTACACATTTAAGATAAAAAAATTTAGAACTGAACATGCGTATAAGTAATACAGTAGATTCTAAATTTTTGGTTAGGTCATCAAATTCGCACTTAATTGTATCGTAAATATGAAGACCAGTAGTCTGAGTGCGACATTTTATTATCAAGAATTGTGTATATGCGTATATATAACAACACAGTAGAATATGTTCACCTTGTTGTTCAACGTGAATCATGAAAATGTCATATCATGTGGTGAAGAAATTTTGAAAGTCCTCGCCATCTCTTTCACTCTATCGGCAGTCAGTTTCATTAGCTGTTCATGTTTATATCATCAGTGGCCTAATCAGGTGTTTGTTGAAGGCATGGCAAACGTGATCTTGCAAACTAGTTAAAGCCGACTATAATACAGAAAAGACGGAGTATACACTCATATTAGAGCTATTGGATAGATAAACTATCAGCTTTTCCTCCACGCAACTTATCACTTGATTAGTAGACCTTATATTTTTATAAAGGAACAAGCATACTTTGCATATTGTGTTGTCTGTTATTTAAATAGTTAAAATAAACCACAATTTAAATCTTCGCCTTTGGCTTGAAAAATTCGATGTACATATACAAGGATGACCTCGCGCGTACAAACCGTCAAGGTGATCGAGGTCAGTTGTTCTCTTCCTCAACCGTGACTAGTATATACAGAGTTGGGACTGACGGCCAAATTCTGTGGGCTGTCAATATTAATGCCCCGGTATTTATGGAAGCAGCAGTGAGTCGTGGGCTCAAATGCGACAGAAATGAGCGATTGTATGTCATAGCATTTAACAGGAAAAAACGAGAAATTTCATGATCCTTAGACGGTATCCGTGGTAAAGCCTTGATAACACCTAGTAGCAGGTGTCCGCTGTACCAAAGCCGATAGCGACATGTTTGAAAATTTTAATTTTTTTGTCTACTGTACCAGGGTGGTGGAGACGAGTCACTATAAGCTGTAAGATGAGCAACCAGGATTTAAAATTAGATTGAGGGGCCTTTCCATGTCATGCCTTAACGATGAGGATAGGTCAGCACTGCCGTGTAGTCACCCAATTTGCGAAGTTAAGTTCCGCGGGTATAGGCCAAAAAAGTGCTTTAACAGTGCTTCACTCGTCAATGGAGCGACCGGAATTGTTTTGCAGCTCCGAGCGACTCCTCACTTCTTCAGGTAGAAACTGTTATTTGGTTTGAGAAATAATATCTGAATGATATAACAAGTCGGTGATGTCGTCAAAGTGGTACAAATGGAATGAATGTTGCCAAGGGAGGAGCCAAGCTTATCATCCGCCCATCATTGTGGACAATCTAAGACTACAAAGTACAAGGAGGAGGATACGATCTCTCAAGGATCCTACAAAGCCTGTTTGTTCTTTGTTGATGGAGTATTGCGAATCTGTGTCAAGATGCCGGTCTCGCGTGAGTCCCAGGAAGAAGGAGTGCGTCATTAAACTGTCTAGGTCTCTGAACCAGATATTGTGTCACGTGGCAATACTGGTTACCAAGGTTATGGGATAATAGTAATCTTCCCACTAGGTATTGACGTTTTGTATTAAGTGAATCAATGGCAAATAACGAGTTGAGTATGCTTTAAAAAGCTAAATGTAAGCCCCTGTTCCACTGCAAACGCCGATTTCTAGAAAGAATGTGCAGATAGCAGTAGAGCAGCATGATCGATTGCTTTTTGTAGAGCCGTCGATATGGTTAATGGAAATTATAAACTGCTCATAAGAGTTAGCATGATCCTTCTTATCACAACAAGTACTAAAAAAAAGTTTTGGGAGTGGCTAGTTATGCCAAAGGGGCTGTCTAACAATTCAATGGAATGACATTTAATCGTCTGGTAACGCAGCTAGTTAAGTTACGTCTTACTTTTGCACAAACCTATTTCAAAAATACATTCATCTAAATTGAAAAATCACGGGGAGTCAGATACGGGAAAACACATTAAAAACTTGCAGGCAGTGCTCAAGTGTATACACTTGAATAATTACTTGTTGATATTGACAAGTTTGTCGTTGATACCAACGCAGGGCCTGTCAACAGATTTATCAAAAAAAATCATTGTAGGTCAGCCAATGCCTCTATCCCAAAAGGGCTTGAAGAAGTGGTATGATCTAAATACTTGCGTGAGTATTTTGCAAATTATGCCTGCATGGGGCGAGCCACTACTCAATCTTTTAGGGACACTATCAAACGATACGTAGTGCGGTAGAAGTTGCGGTATACAAGGCTGCAAAAGAAAACTTCATGGGTGCCTCGGTTTTAGATTTGCAAATTCAGATTAGCCATACCAAATCGTATGTAATCCTTCACACTCTTCAATAGGATGGACTTATTTCCTAGATGCCGAAAGACATGAGCACGTAATCGCGTTAGATGCTCGTAGGCCTGAAGCTGAAGAGAAGAACAACTTTGATCGCGAAACGACAGATGATGCCTTTTGTCGAGCTTTGGTGTGCTTCTCCGAAAGAAAGCCATATGTGTGGCCTAAGAAGCTCATGCATCGCCGCGGACATCGATCAGTATTTTTATAAGAAACACCAATACAGATATTCTTTTTGCCGACGTAATCTCGTGGCGGATACACTTTCGCCTCACCCCGAGAGTGAATTGTCGCATGATACGATGGTGACGTCGCAAATTGAAGTGGTACGTTTAGCTTAGGGATCAGACGCAACATATGCTGTGTTGCTAAAAGCACTAAGTATCAAAGCGTTTCAAAGCTCATATGCCGCGTTATCTAACCGCGCGGTTGCACATCTGCATTATAATAGCTTTCTCGAGGCTTGCTTTTATGCCACACTAGCCAACTTGACTCTCCATACCTTATATTGAGGACCTTAAGCACAACAAACTGTACAAGGCACATGATATCCTCTGAGTGGCCTGCTTAGATAAGAAAAGCAATGTCTGTCAAGTATTGATCGCCCAACATGTATAAGTGGGTTAGCGCCCATGTATACACGTGTTTGACATGTCAACGAATTAAAGGTCTCGCCGCATGCGCCACTGGTCAGGCTGCCGGTTCTGGTATAGTCTTGGCGTCTTAACAGTCCATAAGTATGGACTATGGTATGGGTCCTTCAAACCGCAAAATTGGTACTGGTCTTTGTGAACCATCTGCGCAAACTGGTCATTTTTCTGCTTAAAGCGAAAGTATAACCTGTAAGGGTACAGCCAAGTCATTACCTACAACGTTTCTCTAAACGTGGCCTGCTGATTATAGAGAAGAAAAATACCCGCGCGTCATAGCGAAACTTTTTGCTCAAGGTGCTACTAAGCACATGATTATGCATATCAACTGATAAGCTGCTGACCAATTACAGACACGATCAGACGGCACGCGTTAATTGCGTGGTGAAAGACAAACATTAATGCACTTGTGTGGAGAGACCGCGATATATTCCACTTATTAGGCTTGCGCTAAATAATGTAGTACCATTTTTATCCAATTCAATAAATGGAGTTGCTGATTTCGGGTGTTTTTGACTATGCCACAAGACTATTTCGGTACTGGTAGAGGAGGGGCTGCTGCTTCAGACCAACTCACTGATTTCAAGACTTCGAAGCTGAAATTTTGCTCCCATTTGAATGAGACTAAGCGTCATACACCGGGTTCGCGACACTAGGGCCGGTGGCTAGTGATTAAAAATCGGCCCAATGACGAAAACAGACCTTTTCAATATGTTTTCCAAAGTCAGAAAATCATGGCCAATAAGCTACAGAGGCATTTAGAGTTTGAATAAGCTGTGACTACATTTCGTCGGACCATTGGCAGTCGTAGCGAAAATCTGTGATTGGGTCAATATGACATTAATGCGAAAACTTGATTTTCTACCTGGACTTACTGAAGCCATATCAGGATTTTACGATCCAGTTAGGTATATTTCAATCTGAGAAGGATAATGCAGTGTTTCTACTATTTTTGTATAGCTACAAAAGTGCAATCGAGATCCAGCTCGTGTCAATTTCGGACGCATTTCGTGACCCTTGGAGAGAGCTGAAGAGCCGCCACAACCAAATAGGCTCACGAATATCAGAGCGACGAGGCCCTTTCCTACCTGCGCTGGTTAATTAGCGGTATGTGGTCAATTCTTTTGTAGAGTGATTGGTCGATAGCCGAAAAATTCGAGCGGTGATCAACATCTGGCGAAGTGGATAAACATCCGGATTAGAACATTCATGAGTGTTTGTTTCTACTTTGACACCATTGCTCCGGCCGATTGCCGCATACGATTTGGCACACCCACAGTTTCTCTCTTTAGGAGAGAAGTTATGGTCGTCCATTGCGGCGCGCTATTCACTAGAGAGAAAGATTTGATCTTATTGTGTAAATCAACAGCTAAAATAGCTGTGTGATGGGGACAGGCGGGGCTGTAAACAGCAAGAGACGAAGGGACGTGTCGTCACCTGGACGTTTTCGATTTTGCTTGTAATGTGCAAAGGGAAGGATGATCGTCTGCTTCATATAAACGCCCGCTTCACTGCAGCTGGTTTCCAAATCCTTTAAGCAAGTGAGCCTGCGCGTTCTTATTTTACCTAGAGCGAAAATGGAGTATGATATATTAGTCAACTTTAATACGCAATGTGCATCCTTCATAGAGCTTACCACTTACCTCAACGCTTCTGTTTATAGTCCAGGTGGTATTCTTGTGGCCTAATGACTTGATGTGCCAGAAAGCGTGCGCAAAGCGACTTTGTGAAGTAACACACTAGCACTCACAGATTTGAATGGGTCCGTAAACTTTAAACCTTAGGCTGGCAGCTTCTTTTATGGCAATTTTCACGACATGATGATTTTGGCAAGAGACGGCGATGTGTTGCTCTTGCAGACGCATAAGTCAGGTTCTTTGAGTTAAGTCCAGCTCAGTAGTGACGAGCTGAACATCGTCTTCAGCTCAATGACAAGGCACCTATCTAGAAAAAGAACACGAGAGTCATCTGTAGACGACATTTGTGATCGTCTCTGCCTGGTACACGGCCCGCCCGTATAACTTCGTCTTAGGGCGAACGAAGGTGCTGTGTCAGGTCTCGGATAGTCGTTGGATCCTTTCTCACTGTTGAGCACCTCGGCATCTTTGCCATTTATCACTTCAAGGGTATCATCGCGAGGACCACGCTTTTTTGTGAAGCTTGCAAAACTTCTTAATGGAGCGCACGAAAGGGATTTTTGAACAGATATCAGACACGATAAAGTGCAGAGAGCAGAGTGAAACCACGCACGCAGTGGGTGCTCGCTGAGCAACATCACGAAAACAAACGACGCACGAGCCCCAGTGCGGTCTATACAGTAGTCGACGGGGTGTAACTGGTTAAATACTGTAATTAGACCATATATATCGGGACAATCGCGTAAGATACAATTTTGCAAAACTGTACGGATTTTGCAATGCTCTTCAATGTTATTGTGAGTATTCAAAGGTATCAACAGAACCGGTATTCTTGAAGGTGATAGGAGTCTGAAAAGTAGAGGATCGATAGTCTTGGGTTTTAGCCTTACAGTAAGTAGTCAAGACAAATTTATCAGTATATATTTGATAGTAATTTGAACTACATATGTACCAAATTCAGATTGATAATCTAAATAAATAGCTACTCTAGTGACTTTCAGTTTCGTTGCCAAGTGAAGCTTACAAACCGAATAAATGTGCATTAGTGAGTGCGGACTCTTGGCGAAGTGCAATGATCACATGTGCTGGAATTGATAAAATGCTCACATAACTGATATTATGTAAAGCAGAAAAAACAATCATACCTATCAACGTATTGTCCTTTGAGCCTAAAAGCTAGCCAAGAAGTACTTAACTGAAGTGACGATGAAGTTTTTGAGTTAGGAATTCGGAATGGTTGATAATTATGGTATTTCGTAAAGGAGAGGTCCATCAAACTGGCCTCATGCTAACCACTACGTAGGAGATGCTTGCTCTCGGTATCAACTGAAGCTATACATAGTGCAAAAAATGTAGCACCCGTAAAGTTATAGAAAATTGGTACAAGGTATACCAAGGTCTATCGCTTTGTTATTGGGTCGTGTGTACGAGCCCATCCGTTGTGCAATAATTACCGCAAACATCAGTACAAGGGATTCATATATAAGAGGTGTACGGCAACCGCTGGGATCTAGTTTTGTAGTCAATTTCGAGTCCAAGTTATCGCAAAATAGTATCCTTTAGGAGAATGGAACATGACATATTCTCCAATTGACAAAATAAACGCTTACTTAGTTTGTCATTAGTAACTCCCACGGGAAAAGCTAAATTTCGGCTTAATATTGGAAGCAATTATCCTATGGCTTTAGGCGCTCCTAGAGCTGTAATTTGGTGGTGACATACATCCAGGAACACCTCAAGCGGACGTCCGTGGAAGTATAGCGAAACTTTTACAGAGACGTCATTTTGGTTTGAGAGTCCGGCCTGTGAGAAAAAGATTGAGAAAATATTCTTTTTTGCCAGGTAGGCCATAAAGTTGGTCATGTTTTGGGTGGATCATCAGAGCGATGCGGTAGCGGTCATCAGGCTGGAGATCACGCAAAGTAATGGGTAATTAAGGGCAGCGCCTTGGCAAAAAAACATTTCCGACATAAAAATTATTCAAGCAACATCTGTCGCGATCGTTTTTACCGTCTTACTTACAGTCTTCATCTTCTTTATAATGCGTTCTCAATACAGACACACAAAAAAATGAATCACAACCGTGAAGGTAACAGGCAGGGAAAATAGCCGAAGTGGGATCTCAAGACTTTCATGCAATATTAGCGTATATCAGCGGGAAAAGTCTTTTCTAGTTCACCAAATACCGGCAGCAGCAATGATAAAAATGTGTTCTATTGTAAAATCTCGAAAAACTCCGAGCTAATTGATATGCAGATTGCTCTATTTGAGAGTTTTAGACTCCTGTTTGTGTATGGACACAATAACGTGTACTAGACACAGGTATTATGAGTATCACACTATATATAAAGTTCTGTCGGATTTCTCCTCTCAACAAGAATTTTCAAGTATTCCAAAATATGCAGGTATATTATGTAGGAGGTCGGAGTGTTGCATGAGGAGGGCTCCTACCATGAGAATCGACGACGACGAATGCAGCTACGATGCGGGTGATGGATGCCCCACAAAGTCTCCACAATATGCATAAATATCTACTTCGACCAGTTCCTCCTTTACAAGTTTAGCGTATCGAAAACGCACTTTAGCGATCGTCTGACAACGACATAGATCTTTCCGTAGGGTTTGCTATACCAATCGACTTGGTGGCGTGTACCCACTCCAAGAATGCTCTGACGATGTCGTTGGGCAATTTCGGTGGTTGTGTTTGCACACATGGTACTCCAGTTACATTATAGTACGGATTGCGTGCGCCGCGATGCCATCGTTTTGCTATGGCTGCAAACTAACGGGTCGACGGCCTCCTTCAGAGTCATCGGATAACATGGAGCTACTTGATCAAGTCAGGGGACTCCTTAGGCTCTTTGGGTTCGATATCCATACCTGCGCTGGTCTTTGGAAGACCCGGCTTTGGGAATCCATGTAAGCCTGGTTGATTAAGAGGCATTGTTCAACAAAATGCAGCGAAATACAGCCAGGTTATTATACGAAGGCATTGAGTATGCCAGGTGCGTATACTTTATGCGTGCGTCTCGCGAAAGGAAACTAGCTCAATTGTCAAAGGTCTTTAGACCTCAAGTTCAAGTTCCAAGATTTTTATAGCAAGTAACGCTGCCTTGTTCTAGTGTGTATCTGAGATACGATCTCATCCAAGGTACGTCTATACTAAAACACCATGGCCATAGATCGACTGGAAGTCGAAGACACTACTTATATTTTGAATAGTTTGGGAACTCGAATGCATTATCATGTCTTTGGCTAGGGTACAAATGTTATACGATATCATTGGTCCAGCACATGATATTTCATGGAAGAGCTAGCAATGTTTTGCGAGGTGTCTTATAACATGCCCAGAAGACGGATGCAGCCGCTAGCAACAGTCATACGATAGAACACCTGTAAAATTTGAGTAAGAGACGCTATGTCACAATTGCCAGAATATCATTAGGCAAAGTAAGAAAATGGTGGCTTTGTGCCAGTTTTTGAGCTTCAGTGAAGTGGACGAGGAGAAAATAGTTTGCGGTCTCCAGAATTTGACAATGTCAAGCTAGGTCGGACTGGCCTGAAGTCTCGGGTCTCCGTGGCAGCTAGTTTCTTTGCGAAGACAGCTAGCAATTGGTAAGGAGTAAAAAGATCAAGCCCACGTTACTAATACTGGTTCACCCCGAGGAAACAAAATCACGCGTAGGACCATCGCGCAAAGGGTAGAAATGTATGCGGTTCGTAAATTCATATGCTTCTAAATGAAGTGGCTGAGGTAGCTCTAGAGGATATCAGTTTTTCCGCATGACACAAGATGAAGACTCTCGTAGCGCTTGAGCAAATATCCATAAGAATGATACAATATACCAAAAGTCTAGATACTAAGATGTCATACACATTTCACTACTCATAAGCATTAAAGCTGTATTATTGATGAGAACAATTAAAAAAGAGAATCGAGAATGATGCGTTGTTAGCCTTGTGTTGTGCAATGCATATCTTTATTCAACATAGGTAACTATATAAATATAACTATTCGATGACTTTTTACTTAATCTTATTTACATTTACGTAAATTGGAGGATTAAACAAGATATCTCGTTAACATAGAGGCTTTTGGTTTTGGTCCTTATTGAGGCGTTCAAACTAAAACTCTGTGTATTTATTAAAGTGGGCTGGATGAATCAAGGTGCACGATAGCCCCGATACATCTAATAGCACTATCGTCAATCCAACGACCAAGCGTTAATAAAGGGTATCCATAGTTCGAACGAAACACGAGCTGATTCGACAGTCTAGCCTTGGGGTATCTGAAAACGCTTAGAAAGCTCGTGCTTAGAGCTGGACTCAAAGAAGTGTATCAAGTTGGTGACACGAGGGCCGAAAATAATCGTCGCTCGACCAGAGGCGTTGTCCGGTGCAACATTACGCCGGAGAGGCATTTTCAGTAACGCTTCATTCTGCGTCGGTGGGAAACAGCCGGGTCACATTGTGAGAACGACATGCATTCTTGATGGCAGTAAAGGATAATTCTTCTTGGGTGAGAAATTTCAATCCCCCATAGACTTGGCCATTTATGAGGCATTACGATGGTGCTTCACGTTTGCTGTCGTTTCGCTATGAGACCGTGCGCGAAATAAGGCACAAGTGCGTGCTAAATTCAAGTGAATGAGGTTTTACAGTAGGGAGCGCTAAGTGACGTATGTCGTGGATCTTCAACCTTTTAGCCAGGCAAATTGTGTGCGACCAATTATCCTGTCAACTTGTCAAGGGATGCGAATATTGGTTAGATACGTCTAGATGCATTGATACTCATCGACGCAATTGAAGCAGACCTCGGTACAATTACCAACTTTAAAGAGGGTTCCGTAAGGGTATGGACAGGCCTCAGCTTGTTCGCATCCATCCTTTTCGTTCGACGAAAGTTGTTTTAAAAGCGAAAGATTGAGTCTTTATAAACGCGCCTGACGCGATAGACCCCAATCAAGCTGAGGAAGAATAATATGAGCAGTACTGAGGTACTAGCAGCTCTATATATGTGTCCGTAGAAAACATTAGCGCTCTGCAGGTTCCCTTCTTTTAATGCGCAGATACAGAATTTCACGCAAATCAGTCCCGAAAACATGTCGAGTCCCAGTATACGCAGGGCAGCCTACTTTGGGTTCTAATGTACCGCGGGGTCGAGGCTAGTAGCGGGCTTCTGAGTATATCTATTTAAACTGAAAGGAACGGTTCTTTCTCGTGGTCCTTGTTGTGTAACTCTTAAAGGCCGATTAATCATAGCTTTTAGTCCCGTACCAAGGTTGGTGGAGAGTGGAGACAATTATAAATAACAAGTAGACGGATCGGGTCTGAAGTATTTGAGATATCTGTTACTTGGCACGACGTAGCGGAGTTTGCTAAGTCAGCACTACCACGCGACGCGCCTAATGTGCGGAGAAGTAGTGTTTCGCGAATTTGTGACGATAAGAGTCTTCATTTATAAATTTAATGATCGGTATTATACTGTAAGTTGTGAGTCTCTCTTTTTCTGTTTAAGCTAGAGAAATTATTTTTTAAAGGGGAGCGAAAACTCGCTAGAAGGTAGTGTCGTCAAGATGTTACGGTACCAGAGGAAATGCTGAGCTCATCATCCTTCATGAATGTTTCCTCCATTGAGAAGTCTATGTCAAAATTTCTTACTGATCTTTTCCAATGTTTGTTGCTTTCGGACTGAAAAGTGTGTCATGAGATTGACTGGATTTTCCGAATTGAATGCTGCATATCACGCCAATAGCCCTTACCAAGGAAGCAGTGTGATGTCATGAACAGTTTGTTATGTATGAACACGAAGCCGTTTTTGTTGGAGAGAGTTAAATAGCTTACTCGCCGCTTACATTTAGTGGCAGAAACGCCAACGACGACCAAAGAAATATTTGCATGATTCGAGTAAGTTGAATGAAGCCCTTACTCCAGCAAAACACTTTATATAGATGTGCAGCAGGATGTCAACTTTGTTGAGAGCCTTCAACCTGGTTGATATATATAATCAACTGCTGACGAAGAACAGTATTTTTGCTGTTATTGCATTGAAACATATGCATAAGACACCCTTTAAGTCGCTGGTAATGCCACAGTGACCGCCTAGCATTGCGGCGACGTTAAATGGTTTACTGATGCATCTATTCATGCCGCATCTTGGCTATGCAGATAGCAATCTTGACAAATATAATTGTCATCAGCTGTGAAGACCATGGGGAATCGAATGTAACAATCCACATTAAACACTTGCGAGCTGTGCTCGAATATGTGCGCTTAGATCATTCTGTTCACCAGCATAGACAATTTTAATCTTAGCGCCGACAAGATCCCTTCTACTGAGACGTCATATAATCTGCAGACAGACTATGCTAGGATTGTGGATTAGTCAGTGTATTTGTGTCAGAGGGATATAAGGATCTGACTAGGTCTGGTCAGCGTTTTGCACAATGCAGTAAATATCATGCCGACATAGCACGGCCCCTCATCAATCTCATTGAAAATGATGTCACATGGTGTTATGATGCAAAAATATAGGCGGCTTTGAGTGTATGAGCGAAAAATTGTGCGTGTCCCCTTTCAGGCTACCTTTAATCCCGATCAGCTATTCTATGTCTTGCGTAACGCTTCGGCTTTATGTTATAGACTGTGCTTCACTCTAAGTAGACGCCGAATCCAGATCAGCTATTCTATGTCTTGCGTAACGCTTCGGCTTATGTTATAGACTGTGCTTCACTCTAAGTAGACGCCGATGGCTATGAATGGGTCATCTCGCTGGATCCTCGCCAGCTTGAAAGGCAGAGAAGTATAAAAAATGACAACTCTATTTGCTATGAAGGCGCCCTTTCATATTTAGCATGCATAGGCTTAGAAATATAGTATTTCGTGATTAGTAAAGATCATCCGATGTTGCCACAGCGAAGTCGTCACTACGTCACTTAGAGAAAATGGAAAAATGAATGGCCTTTTGTGCCGAATGAACTTTAGATGTAAAAGAGAGCGAGATCGGTTTGTTGTGGCGGCGGATGGACATTTGCGCTCTATCTACTTGATAGATACATCGTGCAAATTGTCTGCATCTCTGGAAACATTTTGAGAAAAGCAGCCTGGCGGCCAAGATGCCGTTTTTTATAAGCGCATGTTTACACATATACATTGTCCCGAGGCTTGATGAATAAAACTACTAACCTTGCTACACTCAAAAGGTTATAGTCCAGTAGATTGAGGGCCTCACGCTCAGAATACTGTATGTGGGACACAGTAACCCTGTAGATTGCCACGTCACGAGTGGAAGGACACACGGATCGGTGACAGTTATGTATTGATGGACAAGCATGTAAAAGCGGGCAAGCACATATGTGCGCTTGCATGAGATGTGTCAACGGGAAAATCCCTGCCAGCATGCGTCAACGCCTTTGGCCAGCTTGACAAAGTCGCCAAAGACTTGGAAAGCAGTTATACATTTAATATTTAAATGCATATATTCACAAACTTCCGCCAGATTTCATATAAATTATTCTTCAAATTATAAAAGGAATTTGATTTCTCATAAAAGACGCATTCGGTTAAATTAACATCGTGATTTTTATAAACCCTAATAAAATGACCCGTTCCACAGCTTTGTGCGATGAAATTCCGGTGCTGATATACCCAAGCTATGTTGGATTAAGGCCCATACTACAAACCAAAGTTATAGCGACTTTTGTCTAGGTGCTAGGCGCAGATTTAACATATCTACAGCTGACCAATTGCAAGTAGATAATTTCCGAACCCCGTAAATTGCATAGTATAATAAATTTTCGAAGCACTTGCGCAGGAGATGTGCTGGAACTAGTTTTACAACATACTTACAAAACGCGTGATATAAAACGCATTAGCCTCAAGTTTAATATAAAGAAACGATGCAGTTAAATCCGGGTTCCTTTGGCACCGCCATGATGTGGCTCC